TTTCAAGTTTCGGATAGCATACTTGTATTAAATTTAAGCAAACTTTGAAAAATCGGCCATTAGGGAATATGCCATTACCTATGTATATTTAATAGATTTATTTCTAAGCACACAAATGCCGCTATCTGACCAACACATTTTCTGTTTGCAGTTCAATTAATATTAGTGCAGCATCAAGTAAATAAAAACAACCTAAACACAATTTTATTACAGCAATATCGTACAATATCAATATAACAACCATTTTATATATAACTTTGTAAAGTTTAAAAAAATGAAACAACATATTAATCAATTTTTTTAGTGTATAAAGTGTTGGATTATTTAAAATTGCTTTCATACAAAAATATATTTATAATATTTTGCTAGCTTAGTTGTAACAGAGATACCATATTTTTAGAAATTAACATATACGTGGGATAATTGTTTATCACAAAAATATTTTCATACAAATTACAATATAAAAGCATTTATCGATTCAGAGTTTTTTCAGGATTATTAAAGCTTTTCCTTATATATTAACATTAAAACTTTCAAAACTTACTCATATACATACTTATACATATATATAAATTTATATAGTGTGCATAAACTTTTCATAAACAATAAATTTTAGAAATTTATGTATACCAATATAAAATAATTTCTTAGTAATGTAGTATAAAAAAAAGTAACACGAATATTATAAAAAAAAAGTAACACGAATATTAATTTTATGCATATAACGCTATGGAAGTGTTAGGTGTTGTCGAAGCATTTATATTACTACCCTGGTTTAGCCAATCTTGCAAATGTATTTGATTAGATCTAACGTTATCATAAAATGTTTGCATTTCAATATCAATACTGTAGGTTCTATCGTTTGAAAGAAGACATGATTCACTTCGGCATGATGAATCGCTGTAAGTAGATGAGCAACTTTCATATCCTGATCCAAAAAATTCTTTGGGATATTGGCATAAATTTGGGTATAATCCCGTTGATAAAGATGAGCAAAACTCACTTTGAAAACCTGTTGACCTTTTTTTAAATAAAATCTCCTTTTCTAATTGAAGGGAATTTTTATTAAAACAGCTAAAGTTTGTTTCATCTTCCCTTTGATATTTATCACAATTATTTAGTCGCAAAGATGTGTTATTAGGAAGCTTATTCCAAATTATTGTCTCTTGATTATCATTTCTTTCTGAATTATCTACTCTTAATGTCTTTTCATTCCCATTTGTATTTTCATCCTCCAATAAATATGGTTTAAATAATTTCACTGGCTTAGATATAATTCTATTGCTTGTAACATCAACTTTCTTCTCGCTTTTAAATGAATTTTCAAAATTTTCTTTTGTTTGCTTAATAGATCTCGAAAATACCGTCGTTGTCTTGTTATATAATTCTTCTGGTTTTTGCTTTTGGTCATTAGAAACTACTTCATTTATAAAGTTATGTTGTTGTTCATTAAATGTTTTATGTGTATTCGAATTATTTTTAGTTAAGTTTTCAGAACAATATAAAGTTAATTGTTTTTGATCTAAATAGTTATAACAATTTTTGGAAATTATTTGATTACTTTCATTGTTTTTATTTCGTATTCCAAGAGATAAGTCTATTGGTGTTGTTGTTATAATTGAAGAATCATTAGTGATTTCAAAATATTGCTGTTTATTTTCAAATGTACATAAATTTCCATTGAAGTTGTACAAATTTTTACTACACGCATTTTGATGTTTTTCCGCAAACAGTTTAGTACCTGTACATTCTTGTGTGTGCCTCAATTCAGATTTTTCATTAGTTATTGTTTTAATCGACATATTTTCTATTGATTGATTTTCTAATATTTTGTTATGTATTGTTGCATACATGACAGATTGATCATGTGGCGGCAAACTGGTATATTTTTGCTGGCAATGCAATGTAGGTAGAGTATATGGCAACATGTATCGATGATCTGGCTGGGTGCAATGTAAATCAATTGATAACAACGAATTATTTCGTGTTGGTATTCCCATTGCAATGGGTCGTATTAAAGAAACATTTGATCTAGAACTTAAAGATTGTGAATTCAACAACAAATTACTTTTTTTTACTGAATTATCTCGAACTGATTTATTCCTCAATATTTCGTTTGTGTTTATTATTGGCACATTTGATGCATTTGTATAAATATTTGATACCTCGTTTTCATTAAGAGTAGATCGCGCTGTAAATTGTTTGTCATCAACAAAACTAGGACAAAATGATGCAGATGTAGAACCCATGTTAATTTGATTCTTGTTATTAAATGATTGCTTTATAGAAACTTGAGCTGTGTTAGCAACAGAAGATCTTAAAATGGACTCACATTGTAACCATTTTTGAATTTGTCTTCGATGTATATTATATTTTCTTGCTGTAGCTCGCTGATTTCCTTTACAATCAATATCATTACGATATGACTCCAGCACTTGAAGTTTAAACTGTGGAGTGAAAATTCGACGTGATCCCATTTTTAGAGTAGAATTATTAGTTACATTTGAATTGATTTTCATGTTTACATAAAATAATTGTCGCTTTACTTTTAGTAAATTTATAAAAATTGCTTTGAAATAAATATTTCCCATATGTTTAAGAAATGTTGGCAGAAAAAATAACTTTTTTAGAGAGTTTTGCTTTCCGCAAAATATTACGCTGAATATACATTACTTTTCATTGCTTTTCACAAAGTAATTTAAGCGTTTAAATTTTAAAGAAATTGTCGTTACTTTTTGGTCGAACTTTATTATTTGCATACATGCAAATTACAAAATATCAAACACCGGGTATACTTTCGACGTTTCCTTGTTAACTTGTAAATGACTATATAACAAAAATATACTGTGATTAAAAAGTTGTGAATAAAACTGTATTATTTATAATACATACATATATATATATATATACATATGTATATATTCTATTTCTGAAATTGCGCGAATCATTCACTCTGTTCGTTATTCAGCTTGAGACTAAATTTATATCTTAAATATGGAATGAACCAAGTAATGCCAGACATTCTGTCTCTATATTTTGGTTGTAGTCGTAACTTGTACTACCAATACAAATGAAATCCAACTGTTGAATATAAATCTACTTCAGCATAACAATGCACATAGCATGTAAATATGTTTGAAAAAAAATTTTATTTTATTAGTTTGATTTGTATAAAAAAATGTGGGTGACAATGTATGTACATATTTGCTGAACACATATATTAGGAATATGAAATAAATAAGGAATTAAACATATAGTGGAATGTGAAGTATATATATAGTATCATTCTTCAAAACCAGTATTAAAATACACGTATAATATTTCAATAATTTCACAATATATAAAATGAACTTTAGAAATTTTTTAAATTATCTAAAGAATTTGCGCACCTTAGAATATTAAAAAATTATCATATTTGATTTGATACGTATGTTGTACGTTTGCATACAAATACATTTGTTTATTTGTATAACTTTAAACCTTTAACACTAGTTAAAAATACATATTCTATTTATATACATATTGTATTCTTCTTGGTTTCCATTAATAATTTAAAATAAAATAAAATTGTATGTGGATGGTGCTTAACACAAGTCGATTTGTTAGTATCTGTACAGAAAACAGGTTTGAAAAAAATACTAAGCAGTTCAGTCACTGTTGCCAAGTTTCACGATTAGATTGTAATGTGAATTAAAGTGAGATCCATGCAGTAGTGTATTATAGTAGAATGTTTTACATATTCGTGATTTAGCTTAAAGCTTTCTGAATGAATTTATAAATTTAGCATTTATTTTCATTTGAGGAATAACTATCAGATACAAAAATATAATAATTTTTATATATCTGAAACCAGAAAATGTGGCAACAACGCAGTGATCTGGCAGACATAGTGTCGCCAGTTATTTTGCCAGACAGTATGACGTCGTATTTTTTGTTTTGTGTATATATGTAAAATAAGATACTGAATGTGTTAAGCACAAATCTTCAATACCTGTACTTTTTCAACCACTAATTCATTATCTTGATATACAAATATATGTAGATATATATACGTAATGCCTATAAAGTTACTTCATATGCTATTATAAAAATATAATATTTTTTAATTAAAATTATTTATATATATTTATGCTATGATTAAATATTTTATAAAATATAGATTGTGTAATAATAAACATTGAAGATATCGTTATCGTACGCACACATATAATGTATTTGTAGGTTTTTTTTATGTAATTTACAATACATTAAGAAAATGTGTTCAGGAATAGGTATACATATGCATTAATAAAACAAAAGTAATTTGGGAAGTTTTTGATCAACTGAGCCGTCTACTATTTTAACACACACAATTACCAAGAAGTACTAAATAATAATAAAACACCTATACTTTAATTATATCGCGCCCATGGTACAGTCTCAGTAGTGTAATATTGATGACAAATTATATGCATGTTTATATGTATATACATAAATATAAAGACGCCAAGCTCAATAAGTGAGTTTTAGCGGCGACAATCTGTCTGGCATGTGTTATATGCTATTTATGACCTTTGCAAATATATACTGCCTAAGTATATATTCAATTGTTTTTTGTGAGTACATGCAAAAAGCGCAGAAATAAATACTATATTAAATAAATATTTAATGATTTAAATACGAAATTAATGAATATACCAAATCTAATTGTTATTAATTAATATCGTGAAGAATACTTTACGTGCTCAAATTGTTATTCTTATGTATGTAAGTTCTATATGAATTAAGATTCAAATACTTATTCTTTTATTACATTTCTAATTTAGTTTTAGTTTAAATGATTATTTACACGCGATGACATTTAATTAATAAGTTTCGGAAAAACGTGTAAACTAAAAAATATTAATAGGCAAATTAAACACAAAATACAAAATATATAACATATGAAGAAATATAAGTTCAATCAACAACAGTTTATGGCAAGTATCTGATTTTTGCTTGCTTTATGTGTAACACTCTGTTCATATAAAAATTTTTTTAAAAGAATATAGCCTTACGACTAGGGGCAACAAAAAAGAGCTGCCTGTTTAAAGTTCAAAACGAAATCAAATAGCCAAGTGGATAGAATGCAGTTTTAAATATGAATTGAAGATTACAAAAAATAAATATTATTCGCAAAATCTAGTTAATGGTTACTTTTATGCAATCATTAATCATTTAATCATTACTCATCAAATTTATAGTTTAAGCAATTATACACGCAAAGTATTATTTTAAGGTATTTTCTCACACTAACAGTTTACAAAAAAATTTAATTGAAATTGATTTGGCAGTCCTTACAATCATACGGCACATGATTTTTTTTTTGTAGTTTGTAATTATCTGCTTGTATTTATTAATGAACGTAGTTGATTTATTAAATAAAATAAACAAAATAAGATCATTGTTCATTTTTGCGTTTCCATTTCTACTTTAATAATCAAAACACCATTATTATATCAAGTTTCTTTTATATTGGCATACTAAATTCAAATATTTCACGTACCTTTTAACTAAATCTGTATGTTTGTGGATGAACGTAGGTAGGTGTTTATTTGCTGTCGTAATTGGAAAGAATTTGCTTGACATTTCGTTAAAATGTTTCACTTACAGCAATTATGTCGATAAAAAAACAATATGGAATAAAAAGCAAATTTTAAATAGGGTAAAAGTGGCGCAGAGACAGAAAAAGCTAAAAATTGTGTACGAAAACCAAATGCAAGTCACGTGCACATGTTTCCGTTCCGCACAATTTCCTGATAGACCATGAAGACGTTGTCTGAATACATGCGCCAAAAACCATTCTTATGAGATAGTAAAAAAAATTTTTCGAAGCTATCGAATACTGAATATTTTCATATCAATGACTAGCATTCAATTGTCAAATATAAAATATATTTTGAAAAATACGTAGAACATTGTGAATAACCAAGCAAGAGTTATACTAACATAATAAAAAAATACATTTTTGAGACTTGACTCTAGCTTACACTACCCTACCTTATTTATTTACAAATGAACATAAATTTTTAAAAATGTATTCGTTTTGTATTGTATTGTACTGTATTATCATTTATATATAGCAGTGATAAATTTATGTGAACAAGAATGTTCATTAACAATCTTTATGTCCCTTACCACTGGTGGGGGGAAACAATAAAAGATTGGTGAGACGTTGATTTACTTTCAACAACTGATTTTATTTAAATTGATTTGTTCTTTTATACAAAATAAAATGCAACCGTAATTGCAAAACATACAATAAATAAAATAACTTATTGCTTAATTCGCACAAATTGCTTAATAAGCAATAGTTGCGAATGCTTTACTTATGACCTAATTTTTACTTTTTGTTGATTCGTCAACCAAGAAATTAAGCAACAGGTGTGAGCGATTAACTCATGACCTAGTTCTTAATTTTTGTTGATTCGTCAACATTATGCCGGCTCTGCGTTGGTATTACGAGTTGGTCTAGATTTGTTAGCCTCAGCAGGTTGTTGTTTATGTGCAAGACCAAGCGACATCGTAAGTGGACGGTGATGTATGATTATTGGCTGATGTTGATGGTATTCTCGGTTTAATGTAACACATGTAATATAATACTCCAACGAATATGATTATTATTATAGCTGTAGCCCCGATGACCCATTTCTTCCAATATTGATGAGTCATTATTGTTTTCCAAGATATTTCGTTGACTTGGTCCATGTTGTCTCGAGCATCCCTTGCGGAGTACAAAAGCATAGTTGATAAATCTTGCACCAATGGGATGACGGTTTCATTTGTAATTTTATGCATTCTACTGTCAGGTATTGAAATGTTTTGCATGCTGATTGGTTTAACGTGGTGTGTGATTGATTGAAATTCTTTCATCATTCTTCCTTCCAGTTGAATAGTCTTAGAATGTATTACACAATCTGGAGAGATATGAATGATTCCCGTATAATTCAGAACTACTTCTTCACGTTCAATATGACAAATTACATGAATTGTCGTTAAATTTGGTGTAATGAATATCCAAGCATTGGGCGTCCAAAGCTCTTTCCAAACTGGTTGTATAACTTGAAATCTTTTTGACGGACAGTTATCGAATGTTAATTTATTATACAATTGCTTAATTACACAATTGGAACTCTCGTCAATGTTGTAAAATATTGTTGGATGAAGTAACCTATCATCAATAATTTCTGATTTTGATCCAACGTTTCAATGTCGTGATACATTCATCGTTTTTAACAAAGTGTTGTTAAACTGTACTATTTTTGGGCTTCTTGTATGATGATTTGCCGATCACAATCGTCATGGTTGTTCTTAGTGGCCTTCATGATTAATTGGAAATATGTACTTGTATTAGGAATTGGCCTTGTTGGTACCATTGTTATGTTTATGGTGTTATTACGTTCCTTGATCTGAATTTTTGTCACGGATTGGAATGTGATAGTGATGTTTAAGTGTTCCTTTTGTATTTTGTTTGCCTATCCTTAATGATATCTGATTCGGTTTGTTTGTGGGTGTTGCTATGTAGTCTTAATGTGAGAATATGCCATTGCACGAACTGTCGATTTTGTTGCCTGCGTCCATTGTCGTGCGTTTTGGATTCTGAGTGCTTTGTCGACTACTTTTTATTTCTATAGTGTTTCCAATTGGTACTTTTTGAGTGTCTGATTTGTTTGATCTATGTTCTTCTTTAATAATTTTGGGATTTCTGGTTTGAGGTTGACCTCTTTTATTATTCCGTGATGGTAGGATATTTTTTGGATTGTACGTTTTACTATCCCCTTTTGGGTTTTAATTGTAGCAACTCGGGTTAAGCCATCTGTTCCCTTATGAACTTCTATAACTCTGCCTAGAGGCCACGTCGATGATATTAATGTTTCGTCTTTCAATAGGACTAGTTGACCAACTTCTAAGTTTGGTATAGATTTTGTCCATTTGTATCTCTGTTGTTGAATATTTCTTATATATTCTTGGAACCACCGTTTACAAAAGTCTTGCTTTATTTTCTGCACAATCTTCCATCTTTTTAGGCTAGTTTCTGTAAAGTTAATAAGACTATCATGCGCTGGAGTCATTAATGACGATCCCACAATGAAATGTCCTGGTGTAAGTGCATTAAGATCTTCAATGTTGTCTGTTAATGGACAGAGTGGCCGTGAATTAAGACAACATTCGATTTGAATTAAGACCGTACTCAATTCCTCGTATGTCAATTTTTGGTCACCTATAATTCTAGCTAGATGATATTTAATGGATTTTACTCCCGATTCCCAGAGACCACCAAAGTGAGGTGAGCCAGGAGGGATGAAATGCCAACGTATACCTGTTTCAGCTAGATGATTCTCTATTTGAATCTTCTGTAAAATGTTGTTTGCACCTGTAAAATTGGTACCATTGTCGCTATAAATATGATGTACTGAGCCACGTCTGCTTATCAATCGTTTGAGTGCTGCTAAAAATCCTTGAGATGTCAGATCTGAAGTTAACTCAATGTGAATTGCCTTTGTTGCCAGACATACAAAAATAGCTATATACGCCTTATGTGTTTTAATTCCCCTGAATTGCGAGCATTTAATGTGTAATGGCCCTGCATAGTCTATGCCGCAGTGTGTGAATGGCCTCGAGAAATTTACTCTTGGTGTTGGTAAACTTCCCATTAATTGAGATTGTCCTTTTGCCTTTATTCGAAAACATTTTAAACATTTATTGATGCAAGCTTTCATAGCGATTGTTCCACGAATAATCCAAAATTTTTCCCGAACGTAGTTTAGCGTCAGTTTTAATCCTCCATGAATCGTATTAATATGCGCCTGATTGATTATGAGTTTGGCCAAAGTACTCGTTGTATGTAAAATTATTGGATACTTTTGGTTGTCAGATAAATCTGCATTTCTTAATCTGCTGCCCACTCTTAGTACTCCTGCACTGTCAACAAATGGGTTTAATGAACACAACTTATTACTTTTCATTAATTGTTTCTGAAGATTAAGCCGTCTGATGTCATCTGAAAAACATTTTTGTGCCTGCTTCACCAACAAAATTTCTGCTGCATCGATATCGTCTGCCGACAGATTGTCGATCTTTCTTTCGGATTTCTTTTTATGATAATTATAAACGAATCTAAGACAATAAGCTGTCACTCGAAGAAGTTTGTTTAATGAAGAAAATCGATTAATAATATTATCATCTTTGGTAATGTCCACGACGGTACATATTGCAGTTTTTCTGGTTTCCGGAATAAGATTCAAATCAATTACTTCATCATTTTCTGGCCAATTTCCTTCATCTTTTATTAGCCAATTTGGACCATGCCACCATAATGTATTTGAAATAAGATTGTCACCATATACTCCCATTGATGGAATATCTGCTGGATTATCTTTTCCTGGAACAAATCTAAATTGCCCTTTAAACGTATCCTGAATATACGATACTCTGTTTGCTACAAACGTAGTCCATCTATTTGGGTATTACCTTAGCCAATTTAATACAATTTTTGAATCTGACCATGCAATAATTTTACTATAGTTGATCTTGTTATTCTTCTGAATGTAATTAATCAACTTTATCAATAGCACAGCTGCGCATAACTCCAATTGGGCTAATGATACTTGCTTAATAGGCGCAACTTTGGTTTTTGATGCTACTAGGGATATTGTAACCTTTTCTGCATTGATAACCTTTGTATATACAACTGCAGCATATCCTGCTTCTGACGCATCTTCAAATCCATGTAACTCGATTAAACTATTCTCTGAATGTTGTGTCCATCTTTTCATGGTTATTTTCTGAACAGCAGGTAATCTCATTTTAAATTCTTCCCATTGCGCCTGTAGATTGGGTGGGATCTCTGTATCCCAACCAATTCCTAGCATCCACAATTTTTGTATCATAATTTTTGCTTTAATGGTTACAGGTGACAACCAACCAAATGGATCGAATAGTTTTCCAGCATCACTTAGAATTGCTCTTTTTGTGTATTTTGAGCTGAATGACGTGGTATTTATTTTAAATTCAAATTGATCCAATTTAGGACACCATTTTATTCCTAAAATTTTAATCGCTTGGTCGTTGTTAAATTGCATCTCTAACCCTGGTTCAATGTCTTTTATCTGGATATTCGTCAACATTTCCGGTTCGTTTGATGCCCATTTTCTTAAGTTAAAACCTCCCTTCCGCAATAATTGGATTAATTCTTCTTGTACTTGTTTACACTCTTTAATCGTATTAGCGCCTCCCAAACAATCGTCTACATAAAATTTTTCATTTAAGGTTTCACTTGCCAAAGGATAATTAATTCTCTCGTCTTCTGCTAGCTTAAACAACGTCTTGATGGCAAGATATGGTGCTGATGCAGTACCATATGTAATCGTGTTCAAATTGTATTCTTTTATTGGTTTTTTCTGATCGTTTCTCCTTAAAATTCGTTGAAGATCTCTATCATCATGATGAATCAGTATTTGCCGATACATTTTTTCAATGTCAGCCTTAAAAACTATTTTAAACATTCTCCACTGCAATAATAGAATGAATAAATCCTTTTGTAATGTAGGACCTGTCATCATAATACTGTTCAGTGATTGTCCTGATGTCGTTTTCGCGGACGCATCAAACACCATTCGAAGTTTTGTTGTCGTGCTGTCTTCTTTAATAACTG